ACTGATACTGACACAAATATGATCAACACAGTCGTTGATGGAATTACATGTCGCGTCATGGGTGCCGAAAGGACGGTGTTGAGTGAGCGGAGTAATTTAGTAGTGAGAAATCTCGTCCCTACAAGCACACACCTGAACTCGTGTGAAAAATTGGCTGACTAGCTATGGCGGTGGTGAAATCATGAAGAGCGGATCACGGGAGTAACTTTTACTTGATGAGTGTGAAACATTAAGGTCACCTCGTTGGTCACCCACTCACGTACGTAAGGCACTTAATTTTATTTTAGAAAGAGATGTGCAGGAGATATCCGAGTGTGGATGATTCTCTTATTTATTCACCTATTCCGGTGTTGAATTACCACCTAGAAAGCAGCTTCGGCATAGAGATATTCGTCGGCACTGTTAAAATACTCCTGGACCGTCTGCTTCCTTTTGCTATCTGTGACTTGGTACCTAACATCCGCTGACTGTTCAACATTGCAAAGGACTGAAATAAACTTTGCTCCTGAAAGACTTGTCTCCTCTGCCGACTCACCGCATGGCTCGGACCCTCTAGATGAGGTGAGCCAGTGTTGTCACTGGCATTTGGGCTGCCCCAATGTCTTTCATCAGCATTGCCGTATCCGGACTGACCCAGGACATCTGTGCTGGCTACCCATGGTTATGGCAGGAAAGGGTTGGCACTTACCACTGTGTGGAATTTTGTCACGGCTGTAAGGCTTAAAGCCTTCGGTGGGCCTGTCTACTCCTTGCTTTTTCACCGACTTCTGAATGCGCCCTTTTAAACTGTGAAACAATTATTTCTGTCTACCTTTAAGTTAACCCTGAAGAGGCTAATGGTTTGAAGGGATGTAGAAATAACTTATTACACCAACAGAGTCGGGGTGGGGGAAAATGGACACTAATGTCGGGGCAGCCGGATTATTCGCATAAATCGGTTTGATGAATGAGTTGGCAGACAGGGTGGCCAGCTGTTAGTCAAAGTTCTCATCCCCATCTGCTACGTGTCAAAAAGCCAGACTGTTTTGGAGGTATCAAGTAACAGACCCTAGAGTGTAGGAAATACGGCTTCACTTGCATATTGCCATGGTTTCGCATCTCTCCGCTTACTCTTCGTGGTTGATAGGGATTTTGGTGAGACCTCGCCACATTGCTGATTACACGTGACCTGCGAATCGAACTTGACCCCGATAGAAGGCAAAATTCCATTCACATCATTGAGTGTGGAGGGAATTTGAATTTATCGTTAAGTTGGTGCAGTTTTCTTCTCCCTCCCTCTTATCTATCTTTGGGTGACTCGTCCTCAAAATCAAGTTGTTTTAAGCCTTCTTGGGCGATATCTTCTGCTACTCTCTGAGAGGCTTCAGAACATTTGATGCCGCGCTAAACCCTTGTCAGTGAGCAGATCAGCTCAAATCATATCCAACAAACTCAAGCAACAAATAGAGATGCCAAAATTTGCAGAAGGGAGTAGAGAGCACAGCTATGGACTGCCACATCTCCATTTTACGTTTTACGATGACTGGCGGTTCAGAAGTGTCGGCCTATTGGAGAGTTTGACATCAACAGCAGCCTGAATATTTTTAGACTAACGAATTTTTCCTCTTCCTTTGAGTCGTTAACTTATTAGTGTTGAAAGTGGGGGTACATTTACGTCCATTTCAAAAAGATGCGTTCAACCCAACACACAATCGCCTCCCTGTCAGTGGGGTATGGCCCTGATCGGGTCACATGTGCTCCTATATTATTAAACTTAACTTAGTTACTTGTTAGCTACCTCTAAAGAAGCTCTTTTATCCCTTTATGAATCCATGCTTAGCAAATCAGTGGTCCGAAGAGATCCTCGATAAAAGGGAACTCGTGGAGTGGAGGTTAACAAGAACTTCATTTCCTCTCATTCAAAACAGTAAGTCAAGAGGAAAATCCGAGATCTTGATAAGCGTCTCGTCATGCCACATAAAGACAAAAGCATCAAAACCACGTGGATTGCTGTGGGACAATAAAACGGTAAAAACAAACTGATTTTATCCCCCTATTTCCGTCCTTCTAAATTTGGAAGACAAAGTCAGGGGCAACTCAGGGAAGAAATGGAGGAAAAGTAAGTCTTGATAACTATTCTCATCAAGGAATCAGTAAAGAAAAATGTGGCTAGGGCCATGAAGCATTTGCTTAGTAAATCACAGAAAATAGGGAAGAATGTGTTTTGCTTTAATTAAGTAGCATATGCTTGGCCCAAAAAATTGTCTACACATATTTTTCAAAAGCTTTTCCTCCTTCCGAATGAATAATAACCCTTAATTTCAAATTTTTTGGAATTCTCCTTGTTGTCACTGCGAGAAATCTCAGAGGTGATGGAGTCGTATTTGATGGAAGCGAACCGGCAGAATATGACGAGTTGGCAGTGCACCTTCATTTTGATCCACCAATTTCCACGCCATCATCCAAACAGCCTATGCATCACCCTCACACCTCCAAGATCCTGCTCATCGCCTTTCATTTCACTTGAGAGCTAGCAAACTACTCAACCCCTACACACGGCGTTATTATGGAGCATTCACCGTCCAGATATAGCCAGTTCCTTGGAAAATACAATGTCTACTTCACCATTCAGTGTACACAATATGCGGGGTGAAACAAAAATGAAAAGAGATTATCTTTGTCCATATTAACGCTAAAATTTAGTTTTTTTTTTGTTAAGGCTCGTTACGATGACCTGGTCTATTTTGCATTGTAGACACTTTGAGAATACATACAACCGGGTTCTTTATATGCTTGGAGTAAAAGCGATATGTCGGCAAAATATAGGCTACTACCACCACTATCGTCATATCCTGAGCCTTCTTGAAGTAATACTATGTGCCGGCTGAAGGCGGTGGATGTGATTCAAGTGTGTTTGCTTAAAGAACCAACTGTAACCCTGATTAACCTCCCGTACATCTACAGCTTCAGGTAGAGCTAGAGCCACAGCTTCCTGGTTTGAAGAACTCTGTATGGGTGGGGGGGAGGGGGGTACTGTGGAATGATCAGGAATATTCTCCACACACAACACAGCACTTCGAGGTGACTACATGAAGAACAACTTATGCCAATGTTTAATGAAGTGAGGGCCAAAGTCTTGCGGAAATGATTTGTCTTGTAAAATATCAAGTGACAATGACGAAAGAAGAAGGAAGCACGACAATAGCCTTGTAAGTCTATCCACATGGTGGTCTTTCGAGTGTTTGCTGCCTAAATGGTTCACTGTCTCACGGACTGATTAACTAATAGGCTGACACGGACTGACGTAACTTTATTGTTCTTTTATTTCGGTATCTATTAGGCAAACAAACTCCTCATCGGGAGTTGTAGGCAAATGATCCACTCACTGCCAACTTCACACTGTCATGGCAACCATCATTTTATCCACCACAAAACGAAGAGATGTTAACAATGGCTTGTTACTTAAGAAATAGGGAGTATTTGTGTAAGAATATGACTTTATTTTGGATGGGCACACCCATACCAGTGAGTCATCACTGAGGAAGGCGTCGCTCCGTATTTTGGGGATGACATAACAAAATGAGCATGGAAATTCGTTTTATTCCCTCGTCCGGTCATACATTTTATTGAATACTGAGAGCAGTGGTTCATAAATGGAATTCTGTGGGCTGGTACTCACGAATAATCGAGCCTTGGGAGCACTTAATGGTATAAATCAGCCTCCACGCCTTTCAGGTTGATTCAAGACGCGGATTACCTTGGCAACTTCTCGGTCCTAATGATCTTTATATGTCCAGATGGGCAGGCAATGAAGGAAAAAGGAAGAATTTCCTTATTTGAAAGATTTCCCTTCGAATTCTTGTCCACGGTGTTTATAGCAGGATAGGATTTCTCTTAGCTGTTGCTTTTTCCACACGGATCTTTAAGTCAACATAAGCCGGCTGCCATGTCAGTAGTCTTTCCGATCCAAACGATTTGAAACCAAAGGCACTCCAATGCTTGTGGCAATCTAGCCGTGGCAACAGACGAAGTAGTTGGAGGCACGGTATTACCTTACCGCCATCAGTCTTTCCCAAATTCACAACAAACCTAACTAATGTGGAAGTCCACACTAATTAATAGTGTACAGAAGGGCTGGAAGTCTACTAGCATCCTCGAAGGTCCATGTTCCCTAGTGGAGGTACAACCTACAGCAGATCTCAACGCCAACACCGTACAGTAGGTAGTGCACATGTTTGAGACTCCTAGAGACCATAAAATCTGTTCTATGAGGATAAACAGATGAACGGGAAATTGGTTGTGGAGCTTAGACACTTCCTTTGCTATGTTTGATTGCGTGAGCTCTTCAGTATCCCCATCTCAACAACGACATCCCTATCGCTCAGATTATTTAAGTAAGAAAATACGTTCTGGAATAAATAGCTTAACTTAGCCTAGAGTCTATTTAAAAAGCCCCAATATGTAAAGCTCCAACTCTGTGTTTTGATAACGCTAGTAGTTAAGGATCCGTCACTGTATTTCTGCTAACTGAGATGGAATTTGAGCCTACATGATAAACTAAGGCCTTTTGAGTATTAGCAACTTTCCTTCCGCCATGCTTCTACGACTTCTTCCAACTTAAGGGAAGGCTGGTGACACTAGAAAGCATATTGACTAGTTGGTTGCTCATTGGGAAATATGCGTGCATCTATAATGGACACCAGTCTGTATTCCTAAAGCACATTTGTTATAGAGCTCAAAGGTATTTCTCTACAATTTGCCTGCCACTGACTTTATTTACCACTAGAATTTCAGTCTCCATTTCGCTTCTCTTACATGAAAAGTGCTCAAATTAGATTCTAGATGTCTGTTGAAGCAAGCACTTTGGTGCAAGCTATTTTACAGAACCCACTGTCAAGCAAAAGCCATAATTTAATGTTGATATCCCCTTTTTTTGCACTCCTTGTTTACTTTATCAGGTAAGGCAAGTGGAGAATAACTACATTCAAATTCACCTGGAATTAAGAAAAACTAGTCTATCACAACCATCATTAATTGAGTTATTCAAATTTTGAGCTGAAATTTTTTGCTTTGGCTTGAATCTGTGTAAGCTTTGTTGCAACAGTGGAGTAAAAATCTTAGTAATTCGGAATATTTTGGATATCTTATTTAAATACTCAGAGAAGACCACACAAAAGTTTCTTTGTCAGTTATGAAGAATTCACGCCTAAGAGCTTTGTGATCATTGCATATAAATGCTTTAAAATTAAAAGTAATGCAAACTCAAGCTCAAATCTGAAAAAAAGTATTAGATGCTGCCTCTCGCGAAAATTTTAAAAATGCTTCTACTTAAAATCCCTGCCCTCGTTTCAAGCATTGAAAGAAAATTTTTTTCATTTTTGGTAGGTTTATTTGCAACGAATAACAAAACTTGTCAGAGCATTTTATTAGTTTAACCGTATCAAATCGTTTATCTTTGGTTGGCTTATATCTGGTGTGCATGTCGGTTTTCCCTGCTGGAAGATAATAGGGTAGCATTGTACTAAACAAAATGCCTGAGTACAAACTCGTTGTTGTTGGAGGTACTATTATTGTTTTTTATGCACTTTTGCTGCTTAGCTGGTGGAGTCGGAAAGAGTGCGCTGACGATCCAGCTTATCCAGAACCAGTAAGATATTTTTATATTATTAAATTATCCCCTAAACAGTTTTGTAGATGAGTACGACCCAACGATTGGTGAGTTATTTTTACCTGCTAATTTGTGGTTGCAGAGGATTCCTATAGAAAGCAAGTAAATATTGATGGGGAGACTTGCATGCTTGATATTCTGGATACGGCTGGTCAAGAAGAGTACAGGTATGTTATTGCCTCTATCGTCTTTTAACCTTGCCACTTTCAGCGCCATGCGTGACCAATATATGCGAACTGGCGAGGGCTTTCTCTGTGTATTTGCTGTCAATAACGCTAAAAGCTTTGAAGACATTAGTCAATACCGCGAACAAATTAAACGGGTCAAAGACGCAGATGAGGTGCCCATGGTTTGTAAGTTCCCTGTAGATTGCCTTAGAGTCTTCTTTAAGTAATTGGGAACAAGGTAGACCTTGCAGTCAGATCAGTCGATTCTACAAAAGCTGAGGCCGTTGCTAAGGAGTACAACATTCCCTACATTGAAACATCTGCTAAAACCCGTCAAGGTGTTGAGGACGCATTTTTCACTCTTGTTCGAGAAATCCGCAAATTTGTAAGTCTTCCTCTCCTACCATATAACTATTTGCGTTACACGTTTTTGCCTTTAGAATACGTTCTTCAATTTTAAAAGCCTGTCTGTTATCTTTTTACTAGAACTCCTTCATATTTTGCTCCTAAAGCCTTAAATATGTCTGGGAGGTTGGTGTAACTAAGACGGATGTGGTGTCTATGGAAGATTACCTGGACTATATTGTTTTGATGCTTTGTATTGTAAATTTCCCCATTTAGTATCATTTCACATAGGGAGCGGTAGACACGAACACCCCGTACACATTACCAGACTGGTTCTGATCAAGTGCATCTGGAGTCAAAACATTTACCAAATGTCCAGCTTACTGATGCTCTTGACCAAAATTGTGCCTATTAACCGTTAGCTTTGGTGATGTATTTAATTTTTCTCTTGTTTCGGTTCCGCGATGGAGAACTTCATCTTCTCACGCACCTCTAGATGTTGTCTCTATAAATTAGCACCTTATCTCATATTCCATAGTGATTCTCTTTGGCAAAACTATTTACGCGAAGGGGTAGTTTAAACCAGTAGTATTTGATCTATCAATTTGTGGCTCGGACGTTAATTCTCATTTACTCTTGCGAAGTTCGTGTCCCTTACCTCGTAGACACTTTTTAATCACTCTTAATTTCAGGTCTTATTTTTAGCTAATGACTTCTGCTGTCTATTTTTATCAGCCTAAATAAAGGTGAATCTGAAATTTTGGTCCTATCTGTTGACAGTGATGAACTGCCGCAGATCGTCTTTAGTGGTTTAGTGATTCGTCTGGTTTACCTCTAATCTTTGTTGGTTCTTAGAAGGCCTCGTTCCAACCGTTGTTTTCACCCTTTCAGAAGAGCCGACTTTTTCGATTCCCCTCTCTCCAACTCCATTTTGGGGCTTCTTCGCCATTCTAAAAGCATTTTGCAATGGCCACTCTATTTTATTTGATGCCCTTTCTCAAAACATCGAGGATTTTTAGTGAAATACTTCCCCTGATCGGCTTTTAAGGGACATTTGTTAATGTTTATTTTTTGACCAAGACCCACTGGCAGATAATATCCTCCATTTATCTAGTGCGTGGGATCAAAGTGATATCTATCCTCGTTCCATATGGAATGTGGAACTATTTTGTATCAAATGTGTTTTACAAAACTGCTCTTACTGTACACTTTTGGGCTGACTTTATTTCTTTCCTATGTGTAGTCGGAGGAGATAAGCGATAAAGTGATTTCGATTTGTGATATCATAAAGTGCGGCCATTTACATACGGCTCCAGATTACTACTAAGTACTTCATTTATTCACGCGAATAGCGTGTCTTCAGTTGTCTCTGTCTAGAGTTCCGTGGCCATGACCCGAACATCCTGTTTAGGTGTTTTTTGGTTAATTAATTAAACCATTTTGAGGAAGAGGCTTTCCCCCTATATTCAGCTTAAGAGTGTCCGTTCTAAATGTCTCTTGTGCTCTGCTCCATCAGGGCTGTGTGGTTTCATTGTCAAGCACTTCACGTACTTATAAGGATGCTGCATCCTACTACCTCCATTGGCTTCGATAAAGGGGTTTAAGGCGAAAACTTCATAATTTGCTTCCATTTTGCGTCCAAATCGCTTTTAGACCTGCTCAAATAATGGATTTGTCTGGAGCAAATTGGCTACGAACGTGGATGGTATGGTCCAAAACTTACTAATAGATCTACCGCATCAGGAACACGTGGCACCATCGTTGAGCACTTCACTGAAGTGTAGAAATATCACATCTTAATGTAATCTTATAACTTGACTCACCCTAGGAATCTGAAGCCGGAATCGGGGTTCGCTGATGCTTCAAACGCTCCCTGTACGCTTAAAAGCATCCGAAAGACAACCACGAGGAATATTCGGTTTCGAATCTTAAGTAGATTTTACACTGTGTTGTGAATATATGGTTCCGTCATTTTGCACTTCATTTACTCATTTGAAAATGACATCATGAAACGCCGTCATTTGCTTCTAAGGTTTTTGAAACCAAAGAGCACATTTTACTAGTTTCCCGTTTCACTCCAGTGGGTGACTAAGAGAAACGGACTTAGGACGTAGGTGGTATAGTAGGCGCCTCTACGGTAGGCAGAATTGAAGGGTGGAAAGTAGGCACGAGAGGGATGAACAAGCCCCGCTTAAGTGGGCGGATGAATGGGTGTGGGTGTGTGTACGTGTTCTATAGGCATTGGTTTGTTTTGACGTGTCTTAGGCGAATATCGGTTGCTGACGTGCTCGCTCCTTTGCTCTCTCTCGCTCTCTGCATTTGTGTTTGTGATGATGGTGATTCACAGTGTAGTGTGCGGCACCAGCCCCTTTTCGCTTTCTACACGTGTCTACACATGTGCGCCCGCTTACTTGCGT